GTAAGGTCGGCGGTTCAAGCTCATCAGCTGCTCCTCGTAAACCCTGTACAGGGTCACTATGAGTCAAAACCTACACAATGGCACTTACAACAAGATGAAGGCAGGGAGCCCGGATGGCACAGTGTTTAAGTGCTTTATTGCCAGCCGAGAGGTTGGTGGTTTGAACCCACTAGCTCCTCTGAGGGACACAAGTCCTGGTAATGTTCTCTGATAAAGCTCACAGCCTGTGCTAACCCATGGATATAATAAAGCATGTTGTCAAAGTGCTCTCGAGTCAGTTCTGCCTCAGTGACCCTGTGTAGGGTTTCTGGAGCAGAAAGCCTTATGCTACTTCTTGGAGCAGCTGGTGGGCTCATACCACCGACCTTGTGGTTTGAGTAGCGTCGTGGTTATGAATCGGGCTGCGAGCTGCAAGGTCAGCAGTTTGAAACTACCAGCTGTTCCGCAGGAGAAAGATGAGGCTTTCTTCTCCCCTAAAGATTTCCAGCCTCAGAAACCATGTACAGGGTTGCTATGAGTCGGAACCGACTCCACGGCACATCACAGTTATCCTTGTAAGGCAAAGTACAGGAAGCAAAGTCATTAACCTTTGTTAACCATAACCAAACACTTTTTGAGTTCTGGCTTAGCTTTTTTTAGGACTATGGTCTCCGGGGACATCTACATCAATCATGTTATTTTTGTGTGCTGTAGAGTCAGTTCCGACTCTACAGTTCCTGTAAGGACTGACAGTATCAGGAGTAGTCCCATGTACCCAGGAGGTATCAGTACCCAGGAGCAGTCCCGTGTCATGGAGGGTCCCTGTGAGTTGAGATTGAGGCAGTGCAGTAGGTTTTAACAGTGAAGTGGTATTCACAATGATACATGGTTTTATTCATAATGATAAGTGGCAGCCAAAAGCTGTACAGTGCTAAACCATCAGTGACCCTTGATCGTCAGCACACAGCCCCTCTCCCTCTCTGGGTCTAGAGTTCCCAGCGACTCCATCTCTCCACATCATCATCTCTGCTTTTTCTGTTTTTGAATTCTAATTTTATAGCATTGTGATCTGAAAAAATGCTTTGCAGTATTTAGATGTTTTAAAATTTACTGAGATTTGCTTTGTGGCCTGTTCTAGAGAATGTTCCCTGTGCACTGGAGAAGAATGTATATTGTGTTCTTGTTGGGTTGAGTGTTCTGCATGTCTTTTGAGGTCACACTTCTGTGTCTTTGTTGTGTCCTTTCTAGTTGTTTTGTCTTCATCAAAAGTGGTGTATTAAAATCTCCTGTCTGTTTCTTCCTCCAGTTGTGTTACAGTTTGATTTGTGTATTTTGAGGCTCTTTCATTGGGGCTTAGATGTTTACTATGGTTATGTCCTCTTAATAATGAGATAATGCCCTATTTTGTCTCATCCTGGGTTTTGCCGTAAAGTCTGTTTTATCAGAGATTCAAATTGCCACTCCTGCTCATTTTTTTTTTTTTTTTTAAATTTAAGGTTTTTATTGTGGATTGAGTGAAAGTTTACAGGGCACATCATCAGTTTCACATTCAACAATTCATATAACTTGTTTCATTACATTGATTATAATCCCCTCCATATACCATCAGTTAAAAGTATTTCTCTTTATCCACTTTAGCTTTTTTTTAAAAAACACACAAACAAAAAAACCCACTCAGGCATATATAATAAATTACATCTCCAAAGGGCACATTCTGCAAGTCTGCTCCTGGCCACCAGTTCTTAGTCCTTCTCTTCTTAGTTGATGAATCTAGAGTCCTCCATGCCCTCATCTCTACCTCCATCTCTGGTGCTGCTGCTTCTCTGGATAAGGTCCCACATTCTATTTGTGTGTTCCTCTCTTGATGGTCCTAGGGTCCTCTGTTTCTGGACTGTAAGATTAATCACTCCTCCTGCTCATTTTTTATTTCCATTAACGTGATATATTTTTTTCCATACTTTGATTTTTAGTCTATTTCTGTTTTGTATGTAAGATGTGCCTCTGGTAAGCAGCATGTTGAAGGATCCTGTTTTCTTATCCATTCTGCAGCTTTCCTCTCTTGACTGGTTCATTTAATCCATTTACATTAAATGTAATGAATGATAGGTCGGAATTGATTTAATCCATTCAATGGAACGAAGTAGGTCAGAGTTGATGTAATCCATTCAGTGTTCCGAACGATAGATTGGAGTTGATGTAATCCATTCAATGGAATGAATGAGAGGTTGGAATTGATTGCTGTCATTTTGTGGTTTTGGGGATGCTGCTCGTGTCTGTGTTCCATATAATTTTCTGCCCTGAGTTCATTTTGTTTGTGGGTTTGCTTTCCATTTTCTTCGTTTTTGTTGTGTTAATGTCTACTAAATCTTTCTGTTTGTCCTATTTTGTATTTTGATGTGAAGGTATATATATTCATTTGCTTTGAGGTTACCCTGTCATTTATTGTTTTTCCCATGTCAAACAGTCTGGTTTTTTCTTGAAAATTATTTGACTTGCTTGCCATTTGGAAGTTCTGTAGCTACACTGTTCACTCCTTTTGCTTTGTAGGTGACTTCATTATAAATTGATATCTCTGGTTCCCTATGTTAGGTCTTAGAGGTTTGTTTTACTTTAAATATTTCCTGGCCGGTGTTATCATGATTGTTAATTTCAGGTTGTTGTCTATTGTTTTATTCCAAAGAGCATCCTTCAATTTTGTTTTTGTTTTTCAAAGCTGGTCTTGTTAATACCAATTCCTTTAATTTCTGTTTTCCTGGAAATGTCCTAATTTCACCATCCTGTTTGAGGGGCAGGTTTGCTGGGTATATGGTTCTTGGTTGGCAGGTTTTTTCTTTCACAGTTTTCTATATGTCATCCCATTGCCTTCTTACCTACATGGTTTCTTCTAGAAATCAGAGCTTAGTCTTCTTGGTTCTCCTTTTAGGTAATGTTTTTGTTTTTCCCAAGTTGCTCTCAGGATTCTTTCCTTGTCATTGATTTTGAAAAGTTTGATATGTCTTGGCAATTTTCTTTTGGGATCTGTCCTATTAGGGGTTCCTGCAGCTTTCTAGTTTGCTTATCTTCTTGTCTTTCATGATGTTAAGGATGTTATCTTCCAACTCTGACAATTTTCTGTTTCTCTCTCTCTTTCTGTTCTGGAATTCTGAAACCTCCCCCCCTAGTATTGAGAGATTTATCTGCTAGCTCTCTAATTCCTTTCCTTGGAATCTAGTCCTTTGCCCTTTCAGTATATTGTCCATTTCTGAAATTTTAGTATGAACCTTCTGGATTTTTAATCGCAGCTTTTGGATGGTTTTAAGTTTGCATTTACTTTGTCTTTTTGTTCTTGTAATGTTGTCCTGAATTCTTGTAAAGTTTTTCCTGTTCTCCTTGATCTTTCTGTCAGTCCTCTCAAGGTATCTTTTTTTTTTCCAATACCATTACCTTTTCTTTCTCAGAAATGTTTTCTAGCTCTGCGTCTTGGTCTTTGGTTCATTCCATTTTCTCTCATTCCTTTGTGTGAGCCAAAATTGCCTGTTGTTTTCCGTTCATTGTGGTTGTGGTGTTGTCACATTTAATTGATGATTTTATGTTGACCTGTTCTTGGGCTCTCATCAACTGTCTCCTGTGGATATGGTTAGAGATGGAAGCTTTCTGCTCCAGTAAAGATTTACAGCCTTGGAATGGGAGCATTGTACCCATTCTTCCTTGGTGCACCTCAGTTAAGATGTGGTTGGCTGGTGCTGACTGCTGTCTATCACTGATCAGATGGTACAGGAGCTGGTATTGGCTCTTTCCCAGTGGGTAGAGCTGCAGAGGGCATGGTGGGGGCTGGGCTCTTTGGACATGGTTAGAAAAGGGGAGAACCCTGCCCCCTGTCACACACACAGAAGGAAGACAGAATAAACAAGCAAGCAACCAACTGTAAACAGAAAAAATAACAAAGGGGACAATAATTGAAAACAGGCAAGGACCAGCAAAAGCAAATATTATAATTAAAAAGAGAAAAGAGGGACAGGAAAGTAGAGCTATAGACGTGAAAATAAAGAGAATAAATAAAAACACAAATAACCCTTAGGAAAACCAGGGGGAGGGAAGATGAAAAGAGAAAGAGAGTAGAGAATAGAAAAGAAAGATGAAAGAGAAAGAAAAAAGAAGAGGAGGGCTAATGAGAGAAAAGAGGGAAACCCAGAAGTGGAGCTGTTGTTGTTGTTGTTGTTATGTGTCGTGGAGTCGGTTCCGACTCATAGCGACCCTGAACTTGGTTTCTGAAGCTGTAAGTCTTTACGAGAGCAGAAAGTCTCATCTTTCTCCTGCGGAACAGCTGGGAGTCTTGAACTGCTGACTTTGAGGTTAGCAGTGCAATTCGTAAGCACTACGCTACCAGAGCTCCTTAAAACTGGAGCTAGACAGGCTAAAATTCAAGGGATGGAAAGAGAGGAAGAAGTAGAGAGCAAAGAAAAACAAACAAAAGTAATGAAGCAAGAAAAAG